AGCAGCCCCCAATTGCACCGGATTTAACAGTAGTTGAGACGACTTTTGAAATGGATCAGAGAGGTGTCCGTGGACCACAACGTCAACCTCCCGCAATGTCTCAGCCAACGAAACATCGACCAGACTATTGTTGTCATCACCAGAGAGACGACCCCTGATAGCTCTCGAAAGGAAGGGCCTGTCTGGCTTATCTTGGAATGTTGTCCCGGGGCGGGGAAGGCCGTGGCTAGGCATTGTAAAATGCTTCTCTCCCCTCCCAGGGGATCGATGGGGCAGAAAGCCCTGCCCAACCATCACGGGGTGGCCCTGCTTCTGTCTTCCGGGTCTGCTTTTTACGTGTTCACCCGCGCCACTTTCGTCGTCCGCAGTCGCATCAGTTATTGGTCCCTCCTCGCTTGAGGGTGTTCAGAGAGCAGGGAGTGGGACGAGGGGGAGGGACAGGGTATACAGCATCAGGGGCAAAGGAAGGGCGGAGAGCGGGGGGGAGGGAGAGAGGGGGGGAAATGAGCTGTTCGAGTGTGTCGCGCACCTCCGTTTGCGAGCAGGAACCCCTGTAGCACATTACTGTGTTATCAGAACGAAGTTAGGCTGTAAGAAGGGGACTTGGAAGTAGTGAAAGGGTCTCCTTTGCCATAGTGACTCTGAGACCCTCCACTGCTTCCAGAGGATATTAAGGTCAGTGTCCAATTCGGAGAATGATTGGTGTGGATCCTGCCACAGCAAGCAGAAGGCCGACTTCAGTATTTCCCGAATAGCAGGGTCCTTCTCCTCCCTATAGTCCCGAATAAATGTCCTCCACGCGTCCTGCGTGTGGGACCTGATAATGTCCTCCAACACTTGTTGGGCCTGCTGCAGACCGAATTGGTGGTCCGGCCTTTCAAAAGAGCACCTAGCTCTCCAGGCTAACATTAGTATTTGCAGTCTTGTATAAGAGAAGAGATTAGTCGCATAGGGGGACCAGCAGTTCATTAGGTGCTGTTTTTTCACCCAGCAGCAGTAGCCCCAAGTCCCATGGGATATGCTCCCCCGTGAGGAAATGAAAGGCTGCATCCCACCACTGCCAGAGTTGAGTGACCATGGGGCGAGCCAGTAAGCAGTGTTCCAAAGTGGCCCTGGCTGGCGGCGTCGCTCTGCCACAATAGGCGCATAGAGGCGACAGCAGCCCTTTCTGTTCCAGGTCGTTACGGGACACCAGCCAATCGGGAGTGGGCAAGCACCGGTGGCTAATTTGCCACTGCAGGGCTCGCAGATTCGTGGGCATAATCTCGACATACTTGGCCCACGGCAGATCCTCTGTCAACTTCGGGTCTAGGGGAGAGTCGCGTGCCCATCTGTCAGACAACCTTTGGCCAATCTCTGTGGCAGCCCTTGAGGCCCTGTACCCACCTTTGACTGTATAGTCCCATATGCGCATGGGTTTGGGGCCAGGCCATTCCCATTCGGCCGGGTCAAACGGGATCTTAGCCACTGGGGTTGCAGGCTCGAACACAAAGAACCTGTCTTGCGCGTCCCCCACAACACGAACATGCATCAGCCCGGCCCAATTTGTAGTCCTATCGAGGTTATCGTTTCTTACAAGTTTCGAGAATCTGACACCCGGGCTAAGAAGGTCATATGCTTGCAGCGTACAGCGACCATTGTCGTTGTTGCAGACTCTGAAAACAGTAAGCGGACAGGGCAGGTCAACAAATTTGACCGTCCAATCGCCGTGCAGAACCTCCGGGCCGTTTTGGATAGCGAGACGCCACGTGAGGGGGAGAGCCTCCCTTCGCATGGCCTTTCTGTCGCCCACGTTCTTGGCATGCTTAAGCCTGCGTTGCAGTTGCTGGGTTGTTGCCCAATCGTTTGCTCGCGGGTCCCACAAGTCCCCCACTGTATATACAACCCTTCTGGCCCAAGTGAGCCACGGGGAGTTATTTTTGAGACTGGAGGGGTTACCATTTTCATCGAGGACGCGGGGGTTCCCGAATTGGGGCTGCCTCCAAATATCCTGCCATCTATTTGGGGGCTGTTTTTGTTCCGGTCCTCGCCTTCTCCAAAGCTTCAGCATATATGGCCACATAGGGTCTAGGGGGATGTCTGCCCTCACCAGTTGCCTCGGGTCGGTCGCCTGGCGTTGTTGCGAGGGAGAGGGAAGAGTCCACTCAGAATTAGTCAGCCATTGGAAGGGGTGCAGCCTGTTGTCCGTCAACGCTTCTGGTGCCAAGGATTCAATCTGAAGGCAGGCTAATCGGGCCCAGGGGATGTCATTGCCTACCAGCAGTCTGACCACCACTTTGAAGACCAGTGCCTCACTTTCTCTCTCCGGGTCCAGGATTCCCAACCCACCCTTAGATCTTGGCAGCATAAGAACATCCCAACTGACCCTTGAAATACAGCCCTCCGCTCTGGCAGTATTTTTCCAGAGGTACGTAGTCAATGCTTTCCTGATTCTGGCATATTGTTGCCTCTTAAGTGGCCAGACCGCTAATTTGTACCAGATAGCTGCCAGGACAGCGTTGTTTATTGCAAGCGCCCTGCCCACTAATGAAGTGTGGAGCCCCTCCCATCTGGCCAGGCGGCCCACTGCGAGGTTGACCAAAGCATCACCATGGTCTTGCGGGGGACCTAGTGCTGTTAGCCTCACCCCTAATACTCTAATGACATCTTCCTTGCGCGCCCAGGCCACCGCAGGCTCTTGAGGCGGGAGCTCTCCTTGGGGGTGGAGCCACCATCCTTCCGTTTTTGCCCCCCAATTGGCTTTCATGTCCGCCGCCAGCGAGAAGAGTTCTATGATTTGAGAGAGGGCGCGCACACTGTCATCATCCGCTTTGATGAGGACAGTAAGGTCATCGGCGAACAGCGACGTCACCGGGATAAGGTGGTGTGGGAGTTCCGGGATGGGCACCCTGCTGATGTTAGGGTGAGCTCTGATGGCAGAGGCCAGGGCTTCCATGACAACCACGAACAACAGAGGTGCGATGGGGTCGCCCAGCCGCACCGATCTTTGGAGGGGGATTGGTGGTGACAGGTGACCGTTAGGCATGACATTCGTGGTGGCCGTCCTGTGAAAGATTTGAACCCAGTGACAAAAGGCCGGCCCGAAATTCATCCTACCTAAGCACATGTCTAGAAAGTCCCAATCGACGAGGTCGTAGGCCTTCTCAAAATCAATGAAAATGACAGCGGCTTGGACTTTCCGTTGGCGAGCGTACTTGATGGTCTCATTGACCAGCAGGACATTGTCCTGAATATTGCGATTGGGCATGAAGCCCGACTGGTCAGGGTGGATCAACACGTTCATAGAGGGCATCAATCTCCTAGTCAGTGCCTTTGCCACCATTTTGTACGGGACCGGAAGGAGGGTTATAGGTCTATAATTTCTGATGTCCTCCTTGTCGCCCTTTTTGTAAAGGAGAGTGGTGACCCCTTGTCCCATCATACCCCCAAAGGTACCTTCTTTCTGGACCGCCAAGATGTAGTCCATCAGATCATCCTTAAAAAGGTCCCAAAATCGAATCCAGAATTCCTTTGGGAACGAGTCGATACCGGGAGTCTTTTCATCCTCCATGTCTCTCAGCGCCTCCCATATCTCTTGTTGGGTGAGGGGAGCGTCGAGGTCCGTTTTTTGGGAGTCCGTGAGACGGGAGTGTAATGTGGTTAGCAGCTCATCCCTTGCCTGACGAACTCTCTCGCCAGGCTTGTTAGGCGTCTGTGAATAGGTGCCGGTAGTACTGGGCCGCGTAGTCCGTTATGGAGTAAGCGTTGTTCGCTTGCCGAGCCGCGGCATCCAAAGGGTGCCTGAGCACGGGGACAGCATTGGCTCTCGCCCTGGCTCTCACTTTGTTAAAAAAACTCTTTGCCATTGTGCCCTCCGTGTGTGTGTGTTTTATCCTGGGCAATATTCTCCATGCTTGTGTTTGTTGCTCGATATAGGTTTGGAGGTGGTTTCTAGCTTCCTGCAGTCTGTCAAATGTGGCGGCATGTTGTGGATCGTCCACTAGCTGGCCGTCCCAGTCTTCCAGGTCCTTCATCAGCTTTTCAAGAAGAGCCTTGCGATCTCTGGCGTGTTGTAAGGAGAATTTTTGAGCTCTTTCTCTCAACTGCGCCACACCATCGTTAAACCAATGCACTCTGTCCCCTGATATCGGCTTTCGAGTTTGCCAATACTCCCAGAAGGAAGTAACGGTATCCTTAAATTTTAAAAGGGGGCGCAAAGACGTATTCAGTTTGAAGAAGCCAGGGCCCCTCTGGATGTGATTGTGCCAGGATAGGCCGAGTGTGATCATGCGATGGTCAAAGGATCTACACGGGCTGATGGTTGTTATTTCTGCAGTTGTAACCAGGCCGACCAGGTCCTTTGACACCAACGTAAGATCTATGCGAGAGTTAGCCAGGCCTCGTTCACCTCTGGAAGACATGCAAGTATAGGCTCGTTGGGAGGGGTGCAGCAGTCTGTACATATCAACCAGCTCTTGTTCCGCCATGAATTGCATGAGCATAAGTACATCCAGTCCCACATCGATCTGCTGCAGGTCCCCTTGGTGTTGTGTATGGGAGGGGGACCTACGATCCATGGCGGGATCAAGCGCGGTGTTGAAATCCCCTGCTAAGATAAGCGGGGCGTCGACGGGCAGAGTATTCTGGAGAGAGGCCCAAAATTCTACCCTACCTGCCGGGTCGTTCGGCGCATAGACATTGGTCAGGTAAAACTCCTCCTCTTCAAAGGAGACTTTGAGGCAGACCCACCTACCATGCTGCTCATCCCTATCCACGCTAACAAGCTTCCGTCTGGAGGAGGGAGGAAGCTAGATCGCAACGTCTGCAGATGCCCTGTTTCTGGCCGGGGCCGAGTAGGACACATATGGCCATATAGTTTTGCCTTTTGCGTTGTGCGGTGGGGTATCCTGCAGGTGTGTTTCTTGCACACAAACTGTGTCTGGCCATGTCCTCGTTGCCGCGGGTCTGATCATATTGAGGATGGCGTCCTTTTTGTCCGCGGACGCCTGGATGATCCCATTAACGTTAAGGGAGCGAATGTCCAGGTCTGCCTGGGCCAGTTTGGTTGCCCACTGGGGTGGCCTCCTGACTTTAGGGAAAACGAGGGAGGGCGGTGGGCATTGGGGGGGCAATAGATGTTGGGGGGGTGATGGTCGAAGATGCGGTGGAGGGGGGTCGGGCCGGGGTGAAGATTGATGAGGTTGCCCCTGTGGCCGGCCGGCTGGACAATGGGCCCCGTTAGGGAGCAGTCCACTGCTGCTCGCTGCCACACAATTTGGTATAGGCGGGACCATTATTTGTAGTCAGCACCTTGTAGTCACCGGGCCAGGTCATCAAGGCAAGACCTTGATGGGAAGCACAAACGGCGGGTCATCCCACTGGTTGTGCTCCTCGAGGACATTATCTTCCAAGGTCTGCATGAAGAACAAAACTCTACCCGCTGTCCAGGCATAGTTGGTCACAAAACGTGTTGTGGGGAGGTCCATCAGCTGACGGTGGGTAAACCACCTGAAGCTCGTGCCTGTTTTGCTTGTCCCACTTTTGGGATCCAGCAAAAGCAGGACGGGAATAATGCCCTTCGGGAATGTGAGTGTCTGAGGAAGGACCACCCCCAATGTGTCGGATATGCCACTCTCCCTAACCCAGTATTTAAGGCGTTTCAGGATCACGACCGTCGAAGGATTCCCCCTCCAGCCTTCAATCGGCAGATTCATCATCGGCGGTGTAGTCTTTGTCATTTGAGGCTGGCGGGCGGTGTCCACTGGGGGGCCAAGGCGCAGTAGCCACTGGCCCCCCTCCTTCTCCCTCTTGATGGGGAAGATGGCCACCCCCGGGGGCATGGCCACCGGCGAACTATCGTCCTCTTGTAGTCGCACCATATCCCGCATCTTTTTAGGGGGAGCATCGGGTTGCCTATCATCATCAGATTGTGATTGGTTTTCGTCTGTGTCATCGTCATCATGAAGAACCACAGTCTTTCGGCAGCTGGCCCCTGAGGGAGCACTCGGGGGCAGAGATGGCTGACTTTCCAGCAGCCCGACCATGGAGCGGCAGGCGAGGGGACTGGGGGGGGAGACAGCCAGATCCGTTATCAGCGATTGAGGACCGACGTTCTCAGGCTGGTCCTGGATAGTGTGCAGCTTGGGGGGGGACACAGCCAGATCCGTTATCAGCGATTGAGGACCGACGTTCTGAGGTTGGTCCTGGATGGTGCACAGCGTGACGCAGAGTTCATGTACCAATATTTTGGGCCAGGCAAGTCCCTCGTGGAGGAATGCCTCCCCAGTGTCCTCGCGCAGCAGTGGAGAGTCATTGTCCGGGTTCTTTCCAAATCGGGCCCTGATGTAGTTGTCAATTTTGTCAAGAAAACCATTGACCACCAGCACAATCGCGGCCCCGACCTCCATCCAATCTATTGTTGAGACCGTCTTGTACTTGTCGACCGTGGCCAGGACCCTGGGGCTTTACATCAGGACACGTTTGGCCTCCCCCCAGTATCTGTTGTCCAGTTTAACGGCCGGTTTATCGTCGGACATGGTGAAGATCTTGGTGAGGGTCCACTCTGTAAGAAATGCAAGTTTTTGTTGAACCTCTTCATTAGCCACGAGGGGCCGGGCGTGTGCGTCTTCTGATGGTGTCGACTGTGGAGGAACCGGCTCCACCTCCATGTCCACAGGTAGGGGTTGCTGCTGCTCAATGGGCTGTGGCAAATCCGGGGGGGGGGCAGATGTGTCCATGTCCTGAGGTGGTTGCCTGTCGTTGTGCCAGTCCGGATGAGCAACGGCTAAGTGATGCGGCATAGTTAGCGGCTGTTGTTCCCACGGTTTATGCCTTTCCCCCTCTTGCTGCCAGAAAATATGAAGCTGGAGTTGCTGCTGCTGCAGAACTCGTTGCTGTTGACAGCAAAGTTGCTGCTGCCATTGCAAGTGCAGGTGTTGAAGCAGCAGCTGCTGCTGTATCATTCTATCTAGGTGCTGTTGGTGCTGGTACTGCGCGAGCTGCGCTTGAAGCAGCAGGCGGAGGTGCTCCTCACAGTCATTCTGTTGGATGACATGCTGCTGATGCTGTTGCCGGTCCTGCATTTGTGCTTGTGTTTGTGGCATGCTGTCGATATGCCACTGCTGCAGCTGCAAGTAGTCCTGTTGTTGCTGGTTCTGCTGTTGAAGGCAGCACTCCACGTGTGGGATCTGGCTGTCACACGTGTGTTGGTGGTGGAGCTGCTGCTGCTGTCAGGCCAACACCTGGGGGGACTGCTGTTGCTGCCCGGCCGCCGGCAGTCGGTCAGACTTGTCTCCAACAGCGAGTCGCTGTTCCATCGGGTCAACTGGCAGTTGTGGCTCCAAAGGCTGTTGCTGGCCAGTTTGTACGCTTTCGCGGCCGTATTGTTCATTCCCCTCCGCTCGAGAGATGGGCAGGGGACCCGGGCCTGACGGACCTGGCAACCGTTGTCGCTCCCCGGTGAGCAGACAGTCCACGGTCCCTCCTTGAGACACTCGCCCGTCGTCTTCAGGGGGGCGGGGGCGAGTGTGATGCTCGACTTTTTCGGGGGGAGTGAGAAGCAAGAACTTGCGCTCACCGGTAAGCTCTGAGACCACTTCCTTGAGCTTTGTGGTCTGTGGGGCTTTCTCATCGAGACCGAGCATCACATCGTGCACTGGCGGGCGGTCCAGTCCTTCACTGTCATCATCCTCCTGGCACCCCAATTTTATTCCTGGCGTGCCACATGTCTGTGATTGCGATTGCAACTGCGACTGGGACCGGGGCTGCGACTGTGAAAGCCTCAGGCTAATCGAGGCGGGTGGCACCGCAGCCAGGCCCACATCACCTGGCTCCATTTGTAGCTCTCCAGATGTCTGCGTTTGCGGTTGCGACTGAGACCGTGACCGTGACTGCGACGGTGACAGTGTAAGGCTAATCACCGAGCGTGGCTCTGTGGGCGGGCCCCCGTCATTGGACTGCAAGTCATGAGCAGGCTGCATTCGCTGCGACTCAGAGCGGTCTATTGTTGAGTCCTCCGACAGAGAGGGGGGGGAGGCTGCCGACAATTTCATCTTTCCCTTTGATACACCCCGGGGTTGGGAGAATGTTGCACCCTTAATCTTGGTGAGGAGGGAGTTGGCCTTGAGCCACATTCTGTGGGGATCGAGGATTATGGGATTCCTCACCTCCGTTCTGGCAATCTGGACTCCGCATCCTTCAGCCGAGGGCGCGCCTCCCCAGGAAGTGCCTCCCCGTTGCGGCAGGTGGCTCGGTGCGAGTGCGGCCAGTTGCATGCCCCCCTCAGGCTGAACAGATCCATGGTTGGCAATGTCGGCAGGTAATGGTGTCAATGCTCTGTCAGGTTGGTCGCAGGGCGCCCCGGAAGAACCGTTGTGGGAGGGAGGGACGTAGTGCGGTTTGTGAGGTTGTGCTGTCCGCGGCTTCCTTATTTCCCCGGTGCTAGTGGGCACAACCAAGGACGGACCCGGATCAGACCGTGACACTGCGTCCTTATCACCCTGTCGGTCATGTGTCGTCAACCGATCCTGCTGCGGCACAACATCCTGCCCCAGATCGGGTGACCGAGCCACTGCACACCTTTCCGACTGTGTGTCATGTGCCTTCAACAGGTCCTGCTGTACCACACCCGCCTGCCCTTGAAGCGGGGTTATTTGTTCAAACGGCTCGGCGTCAGTGCCCTTCTCTCCCTGTTGCAGTTGGGGAGGGGCTCCTGTACCCGCACAGGAGTCCATGTTGCCACCTTCCCCGAGCCGGGCATGCTGGTGCTCCGTCCGGTCGTCTACAGGTGGACGATCGTCGGGGAGGGGTGAGGGCCCCTTCCTCAGCTTGGGTTTATAGACGAGAGGAGGAGGCGGCTGTGCTGCCCGGGACCCAGGCCGAAGTTTAACTGAAGACGCTGGTAGCTTATTTCTATCAGCTGCACTGTCCTGGGTATGACTTGTCTTGTTCGGTTTCCCCCTAGTCGTTTCAGCACAGCGGGCAATATTCTTCCCGTCATTTCCAGCATCCACCGCCCCCGGAGACAAATTGGCAGTGTGCTTCGAGTCACCAGTTGTTTCGACTCTGGCACCGGAAGGGAAGGCTGTGGGCTGCCCCTTGCCCTGCCATAACCATTTCCCTGCGCTGCCATCGGCACAAGCTCTAAAGAGCCAGCCTTGCAGCTCCCTCTCTTCCGGATACCATTTCTCCTCATCATCCGGATCCGGGATCACGAGGCCCTTAATGCCCTTCTTTTTGTTGTTTCTGGATGTCGGGCAACCATCGTCTGAACAGAGGTGACCCCTTGCCTTGCAAGCGTAACACCAGGGGTCCTGTGTGTGGCTGATGGGGACTGAGAACTCTTTTCCCCCCAAGGAGTACCTCCATTCTTTATTGAGGGGGAAGGGGTAGGACTCGTCCCAGTCAACAGCGACGAGGAGGGTGTCGTCCCTTTTACCCAGGAATTGAGGCAGGTCTGTGATGAAGCCTTTGACACGGGCGGTGTTCTCAAGCTCGGTAAGTATCGCCCCTTGCACACACACAGGGACGAATCGAAATTCAACCCAAAAGTTGGTTCACATCAGGTGCTCTCTTCGTTCGTCCACAGATTGCGGATCGACGGGGGACCAGGGAGACACCCGCACTTGTGTGCCCCTGAGTCGCAGGGTTCGGTTTCTGAGCAAGCGTTGCCTATCTGTTGAGTACAGGGCAACTACGGTGATACAATCCGGGTTGTCCACCTCAATGAGGAAGTGGTCGTGGGCCAATTGTTTGTCTGATTTGATCGTTGCCAGCCTGTCAGAGATCCATTTGACCCTGTCATTGATAACCATTTCCGGCTGCATGGGCTGAAATCGAAAATGGACGGCTCTCTGTATGTAGATTGTGTCCCTTTTGGCTGTGGCCCCCGGCGGGAATACAGAGTGAGGGTAAATGTGGCCACTTGAAATTTCCTTTCAGGCTGGACATACAGTTGCTGGATGAGATGGCTTTTGAGTGGGGCGATGGAATCAAGACAGGCAGATGTATTTAGCATCCGATTGAGCTGGGGCAGATAGCGCTCGCAGGAGCTGGGGGGGCGAATTTTTGGTGCTGGATGAGGCGGCCGGATCGCCCGTGGTTTGCTGCCCATTTCCCACCAGTCTATCCTTCCATGTTCTGTTGTCCTTTTCCTGCCCCGGAGTTGTGTTGCGTTCTCCTTGTTCTCTCTTGTCCGAGGCACCCAAGGGGCGAGATTTGTTTGGGCGGTTCACGACCGGCTCCTTGTTTTTCGGCAATCCACCATCCCCGTCCTGTTGCAGTGCTGCATCCCGGGATCTGTCGACACACACACGTGGGTTGTCCGAGGACCAGGGTGCTTTTGTTTTATCCTTCCCCCTGTCCCGTTGAACGATTGATGGGCCTGCGCTTGCCCCGGACGTCATTGTGAACAACAGCCCCTCCCCTTGCGGTGCGGTGGGAGGCGGGCCAGTGTTATTGACCGCTCCAGTCGGGGCCTTTCTAGTTAGTCAAAGTTTTGTCGCTTGTTGCCACGTCTGACTAATCTATGGACGAAGAGGGGGAAGTGGAGACCAATCGAGTGAGACAAAACACAACTGTTCCTATCTAAGTCATGCCGAGCGGCCCATACGATCGGCAGAAAATGGACATAACCCGAGCATGATACAACGCTTCCTTCAAACAGAAAGGAGGTGAGTCTCAAGTGGAATCTCTAATTAAAGGGGACCCTTGCAACCCTTCTTTCCATCTCTTATTATTTTTATTTTGAAGGTTCCGCACAACCCTTGTCTGATCAGGGCCGAGTGCACCCGTCTTGGCGGAATCCAGGTTGCAGGGCTACAGTAGTTGTGTGCCAACACACCCTCGTTCGAGGATGAAGATGATTACCGCTGTCGTGTGGGGAGCATTTGTCGAGGTCCTGTCTTTATGGATGGCGTTTTGCAGAGGGAGATCAGATGGTGTTATGATGAGTGAGATCAGATGGTGATTATGGACAGGGCTGTGGGGATGTAAAGCAAGGAGGGCGAGGACAGTGATCCGAGTGCATAGTGATCAAGGCAGAAGCGAAATTGATGGAGGTTGACAATAGTGAAGGGCAGGAGGAAGAGGGCGAGAAGATTACGAGGCATGCGGGGGTGAAGGGCAGGAGGAAGAGGGCAAGAAGATTACGAGGCATGCAGGGGTAGGAAAAGCGAGGAGGTCACCGTCCGGCCCGGATTGTCGACGCGCCGTTTCCGTTTAGCCTCTGCGTTCTTCCCACCAGTCTTGGCGCCCCGCAACGTGAGCGCAGCAGACGTCAACGCAGCAGTCCCGACGGCCGTTGTTCAACGCTTGTTGTCATCGCCCTCCATCCATGTCCTCTTCCCCCCGTCAGTTGCTGGTTGGGCGCCGCCATGTGGCACCCCTTATACAACGCAACCCGTGACCCTTTGTTGGTCAGGGCATATCGCCTCGCACGCCGACTCGCCAGCCCTGCAGACGTCAACGCACTCCCGGACGCGCCGCCCGCCAATCTCGCTCGTCGTCCTCACCTCCCTCCCCACGCACCGTCATCATCAACACGCCGGTCCGACGTCACGCCGGCCGCTCCCCATGAGCAATCGCCCGCCGATGGACGCACGCAGTGGTCCAATCTTCTCATGGCTGGTTGTCTTCGTCCCAACGGTGTGACTTCAACTCACCGATCCTTCATCGCGCTGGCGTCAAAGCACCGATCAAGCTCCGCGTGAACAGTGTCACTCTAGCACACACGAGGCCAGGGGCTATCGGCGCTCAAATCTTCCAGGGCAGCCGACCCACTTGACGGCCATCTCCAGAAGCTTGCGCGGATCCTGGCGGACAGGCCCTGCCGCCCACACGTCGCAAAGCGCTAGCGCTCCAGAACCACTCTTAGGGTCATAGGGTTTTAGATTTTGGGCAAGTGACACACACTAACAGCCATCTCGTCAAAATGGACATTTTATTTTTTTTAAGCAAAATTGAAACCTACTTATTTGGCCCAAAAAATATCACCCTTCATCTCCTGAGGGTCCATTTTGACTTAACTGAAGTTCAGGTACATCCAACGGTGACATTTTCAGGGCCAAATAAGTCGGTTTCAAATTTGATCAAAAAATATGTGAGGCGTAAGGGCCCAATGGGCCCCTTTTTCGACCCTGTAAGCAGAACAGTCAGCCGCCCTAAGTGACGGCAGGCCCGACCAAGGCCAGAAGGCCTAATTTTCGGCTACCACGCAACTGGGTGAAATTCAGGCAGTTGCGCAGCGCCAATTGGTTGAAAGCGCCCAGGCCCTGGCTACCTTTATCAAATGCATCTGAGTCAGGCCTTGGGCGAGATACGCAACATGGACCCAACTCAGGCTGCGGGCAGCTGGGCACGGGTAGCTGCCACAGGCCCTGGGCCTGATTCGTTCAGAATGGGGCTCAGCCTCCTGGGCCCTACCGAAAGCTTCTGGGCCGAGCCCCGGTGCAGCCAGGTCGCACGTAGCAGGCAGGCCACTTCCATTTAGGAAAGTGCCTGCCCCCACATTCCTGATTCGGGCATTGGCTGCAAGCTGCGCAAGCGCTGCTGCGCTAATCACTGGCCAGGCCCACGCGCTCACGGGCGAGCAGGGAGAGCAGGCAGCCATAGCCGAGCTAGACTGCATAGCTGGATGGGGTGCATGGTGGTCCTTGGGTGCATGTGGTATCTGTGAGTGGGGGATCGAGGTTGTGAGTGATGCGAGAGACATACCTGGTGCTTGAGGCGAACGGCATTGGCCGAGATCTGCCCGTACTTCGGGGAGCTGTTGACGTCACCAGCGGCATTGTAGATAGGCTAGATAGGATCTGCCATTTGTAGTCTGGGCGCAGAGCGCCAGATAGGATGTCGACATTGGTTCTTTGTTGATGATGATGAGACTATTCCAACATTGTCACTTATGAGCTTTTGCTGTGCTCTTATTTGGTGGAACTCGTGTTGCAATTCTGCTTTTGGTTCGAGGTCACGACTATCTGGTCTCATGTGTACGATGCTGCTTGGTTTCTGAAGTTCACTATCGCTCATTTTCCTTGTAGCTTGGTATCAAAGTTGTGGTACGGTGCGCTAATCTGGCGCTTGTTTTCTGCCTTTGCGGTACATGCATGCGGTCTGCTGGGTGAGCGGACGTACTGGGTGAGCGGACGTAGGGACCGTGTAGTGAGGAGGGCGAAGGCAAGCAGGTGGCGACCTAGGAGGTGAGGGGTATCGCCAGGAAGGCTAAGCGGTGAATATTGGGTGTTCACAGTGTAATGAGAACTAACTGATGTGCGATTGATGCTGAGTTTGAACAGCGGTGTAATGCTGGTTGTGCCGAAGCAGCGATTGGTCATCACAGTCGGCATCAGGTCATTTGGTGAGAATATTTGTGGTTGGGGGCAGCTATTTTGAGGTACGTTGCACCTAACCTTGTCTACCCTCTTCGACACTTTTTACCATGAGGATGTGTGTTCTGTCCTCTCATGTGAGGAGTCGAGTGCGCTCAACCTTGAGAGTCGGCATTGTTCACGTGGAGCATTTGGAAGGAGAGGCGGAGCTATCTGAAGGGCCCTGGACGAAGCACTGGGTCACGGCCACCATGCCAACCCACCGGGAGTAGAGCATGCATGCTTTGCTGCTTTGTCCTTTGTCTGCTTGCTGCGGTATAGATGGGCGATGAGGGCCAGGGCAGCCCTACAGAGGAGACGAGTATCGAACGTCTAAAAATAATCACCGACGGGGTTACCTTCCACTGGCTGTGATCGTCGTCCTGTCTGCGATGTTAAATAATTCCTGAGGACTTCTGAGGCCGTCCTTAAACGCCTCTTGATCAGCCAGGTGGTCGGTGTAAGGCTCGCTGCACGCGAGGATAAAAATAGTGCAGGGCTGGCCAGCTCATCATACACTCGGGCCACAGCCGCCCGTGTGCACACCTTTAGACACGCACGCTGTTTTGGATTGCTCAGGGACGCTGACGTCAAGAGACCATCAAGAGGAATTGAGGGAGGGGTAGATTCCAGGTGATAAGTTCATGTTTAATTCCACTCTGCAAATATCCACACAGACGATTGTACTTTTATTCTGCATTAGTTAGATGGACTGCCATTGACATCTGACAGACAACATTAGGTAGAAATGTGCTTTCTGTTTGTGGACTAGTTAAGTAAAAATAGTTTCGTTTGTAGGAATCTGGACTTACCTGTTGACCCAAATGTTTAGACTCTGAAATAGCCACCAATTATTTATTTATTTATTTTAAATTGGTTTGTGCACTACGCTGCGGTAGGCATCTAGTGCGACCTAGTGCAGAAGCATGTGCAGTTTTGTAGCTTATGAGTGACAGGGATATCACTAGCGAGGATGACAGGATCTTCCGATCAGCAAGGCGCCCGATAGCCCACGTTGCATTAGGACCTGAGGGTGACAGACTTCTGTCCCGACAGCTTAGGGAGAGACAGCAGCAGCAGCGGAGAGCTAGGGCCGCAGAGGCAAGCAGGGCATTCGCAAGCGAGGCCGCTACTTCAACAACCATGGCAATTGCTGCGCAGCAGAGCTCTTAGGCTAGTAGTTCAGGGACTGTAGGGTCAACGGGCGTACAGACCCTGAGTCAGTCCGCTGGCGTCATGGCAAGCCATCTGTTAGTGTTGACCCCCGAGGAGGTGGCCATACGACAAGCAGATGCTCAGGCGGCACAGCTACATAAGGCTTTAGGGGAGATAAAGGCAGAAAAAAAGAGAATGATCAGGAGAAAAGCAAGGATGCAGCGGAGACAAGCGGACATTAGTGAGTTAGAGGAGATGGACCTGACACACATGGATGATGATGTGAAGACCCTGAGGACGGTCTTGCTAGATGTAGTAGAAATGCAGGACCACCAAATGGCTCTCTTACAGGACATCCAGCAGAGCCTAGACGTGCTGGTCAGGCGAGCGCAATCACCACCATCGCCATCTGGGCCCGGTGCCTGGCCCGTGGTACAACCTCCTCCTTTTGTCCCATCGGTGATTGGAGTATCCCCATTTGTAATTTCTCCAGCATCGGTACAGGCCGTTTCCCTAGGAATGCCTTTGGCAGGCGGGTTCTCAGCAGGTCCCAGTGTACAGATTCCTGTACAGTCAGTGTATTCCCAACCTTCGTTGCAGGTTGTCGTAACTGAGCAGCCTGCTGTCTCGCAGCCAGCACAGCCGCAGGGCACACAGCCCCAACAACAGCTAGTGCAGCAACCTGGGTCCCAGGGTCCACAGCCCGGAGTGGTGAAGGTACCGGGACAAACACAATGGGATCCAAAGACGGCCATCGCCTCACCTAAACCCTTTTTAGGGGACAAGAGGGGCGAAGACCTTGACACATGGTTGAGGTCGGTGCCAGTCTACGTTAAGTGTAAGTTTACCTTGCCACACGAGGAAGTGTTTTTGGCTGCCTCCTACTTAGAGGGGAGTGCAGCACGATGGTTAAGTGGGCTCGTTCAACTCCAGGGCTACGGACACGACTTCCGCGCTTGGGCAGTCAACCAGAAACTGGAAGACTTCTTGAAGCTGGTGGAAGAGAGGTGGCATGATCCTCAGGAGGCTCAAAAGGCCCATTGATGCGATCCTGACTTTGAGCAATAGACCGTTCAAGTCAGTAAGAGATGCCACACACGCAGTAGAGCGTCTGATCTGTGTTCCTGGAGTACGCTATGACCCCCAGGTCTTGCTAACCACTTATCTGAGATGTTTTCCTATGCCAATCACGAATCAGTTGGCGGGCGAGGCAAACATCAATGTGCACAACTTTCCCTCATTTAGCAAGAAGGCCCTAGACCTGGAAGCAAAGATAGGGCACAGACATCAACCCACGATGGATGGACGGAAAAAGACACTGCCTCCCAACTGAAAGGCAAAAGTTGTATCATGTTCGTTGACAACGATGGTTCTACCATTGAGTTGGACGACGACTTCCATGAGGGAGTAGGTGCACAGGCGGGCAGCGTAGAGGCTTCAGGAGGTGGAGCAGTCACTGCCTCAGTCCAAAAAGGCAAGGCGACTGTTAGACGCCGCAGAGGCTCCCGGTCTAGAAGTCAAGTAAACCCCAATGCTCCTCCATGGGAGGAAGCGGGTCTCAAAGAGAATGTGTGGAAAGACCGGTACACCAGGCAGGCCTGTATTCCGTGTGGCCAATGTGGCCATAACCAGTTCAAGTGTCGCAATAAGAAGATGACGGAAAAGATTCCGCCTATGATGGGGCAAGCGATGGGATCCTCCGCTTCCACAGGTAGCAATGTGGCCAGCAGTTCTGGCACTGCTCCGGGAAACACGTCGAACCAGTAGGAATAGTAGTTGTTCCTGCTAGGGTCGAGGTGGTGGACACACCCTCACCATCTCGAGAGATGGCCCAAGCTACTGACTCCGTAGTCATCCCGCAAACACATTCAGACTCGTCGATCCTCTGTTCGATGAATGTGTTTGAATCCTTAGAGGAGCTAGAGGAGGAGTGGTGTAGATTAGACCCACTAGCTTCTTGGATGACTATGGCCAAAACCCCTAAGGGTGAGTTGTTCGTCGGCGAGGTAGTCATCGGCGGCCGAAGGCCGGGGCCTATTATGACACTTGTACGATGCAGAACTTCATCAGTCGCACGTGCATTGAAAGGCTGCGCTTAGAGGGGCAAGTGCATCGCCTGAGTCGATCTGTGGAATCGACCTATGCCAACAAACAGCGCATGGTAGTCAACGACTACCTTAAAGACGTTGAGTGTTGTTTCCCGTATGCGGGAGGGGAACTAAGACATCGCGTCTCGTTCCTAGTCAGCAATGATCTCCCAATGGACATCCTGTTGGGTATGTACTATCTTTCGGTGGCATAGCCCCAGTTTGACTGGGATCGAAAAGTGATCAAACACACTTTGCCTGGAGGGGGGACCGCCAGATTACGTAAGTTTACGGCTAGTAGTCTGATCGAGTCCTACTGATGCATGTGTGCGGCCGCGTTCGACAATTATTATAAGCAAAATGTGGAGGAGGGTATGTACTTAGTTTATGTCTCTGCAGCAGGGAGTAGTCGCTCAGTACCCTGATCTATTTGAAGAGCCTAAAGGGGTTGTTGAGAGGGAGGTTGTCCACGCGATAGAGATTATCCCAGGGTCTAGCATTCCAAAGGGTAGGATCTATCGGATGTCTCCAGCGGAGCTTGATGAGCTTCGCTGACAGCTCAAGGAACTCATAGAGAAGCCCCTTACGGATCTCTTGTATTATTCGTGCCAAAGAAGGGGGGAACCTTGAGCATGTGCATTGACTATAGGGGCCTCAATGCCATCACTATCAAGAATAGAGAGCCCCATCGATGACTTACTGGACCGAGTGCAAGGGTGTCGGTACTTCAGTAAGATAGATCTAAAGTCCGGGTACCATCACATTTCAATACGGCTCGAGGATCAACACAAAACTGCTTTTCAGATTAGGTACGGTCTGTACGAGTTTGTGGTGATGCCTTTCGGCCTTTGCAATGCTCCTGGCACCTTTTTTTTTGTTTTTTTAAAGGTTGTGCAGGTTGGAGACGGCTTCAGGGGGGTCCTTATCGCACGGCCATTGAGGGCAGTCCCGCCAGCGAGGTCGGCGCGTCGAGCCTTCCTACACTCTCGGAGCGGGTACTACACTCGCCAAGCGAGACCCACCCTGACGGCCCTGCCTACAATGGTATTGTATGCCCCACCCCCGCCCCACACCCCCTAACACGCACACTCACTGAACCAGCTGAGACTCTCCGAAGACAGCACTCTACCTCACGTAACATGGAAGATGGGAGGGTATCGACTATGGCCAACGCTCCGTGGCTGCATGCAACACATCAGGGCACCCCCGAACTCAGACCACAGTTACCGTCGAGAACACGCCATGAACTGGATTTTTCATGACTACTTGGACAAGTTTGTCATCGTGTACCTCAATGACATACTTATCTTCAGTAGGACTGTCGAGGAGCATGTGGGTCATTTAGAAAAAGTCCTAAGTCTTCTTCGGCAACACCAGTTCAAGATCAACCGGTAGAAATTCGAGTTTGGCCGCAACCGGATCTTGTACTTGGGTCGTGAGATTTCCGCGGACGGATTGAAGCCCGATGACACGAAGGTGGCCAGCATTCGTGACTGGCCGCGTTCTCAGTCTGTGGCTGAGATGAGGTCCTTCTTAGGGATGATCGGCCACTACCGCAATTTTGCCAAGAACTATAGCATAGTGGTCGCCCCTTTGACGGACCTGACATGCCTTGACACCCCACGAGAGTGGACAGACAGGTGTGAGGCTGCTTTCAGACATCTGAAGCATGCCCTCACTCACCATGAGGTCTTGAAACTGCCCGATCCTGACAAGCCGTTTGTTGTGACCACGGATGCCAGCCAATATGGCATTGGTGCCGTACTTGCGCAGCAGGAGGGGAAAAAGTTGAGGCCAGTAGAGTACATGTCCAAAGATGCCCTCTCAAAAGTTGGCCAAGTCCACTTATGAGAAGGAACTCTACGCGATCTACAAAGCGTTGGCTCACTGGAGGCACTACCTCTTGGATCGCTTTTTCTACGTCAGGACTGATCATCGGACCCCAAGGTGGATGAAGACTCAACCGGTACTCTCCGATGCTCTGAAGGGATGGATTGAAGTCATGGAACAATATGACTTTGAGCCACAGTACATCAAGGGGGAGTACAACAAGGTTGTTGATGCGCTGTTGCCTAGGCCAGACTTCCTAGGTGCACTGGTCACTGAATTTGGGCTTGTGGACGATATTACTCGTTCTTTGGTAGAAGCCTATCGCGAGGATCCGTTTATGGCTGAGATCTACATAGCACCGTGTTCGCGTTCGAAGGAGAACGCGAACATGTTCGCCCGAACGTGAACAAGCGCCCAAAACCCTCCGAACGCGAACATAAAAAATATTTAAAAAAAAAAAAAAAAAAGTTCTCAAAAAAGTTCTGAAAAAAATATATGTTATGTAAAATAATAAAACAAGCAACCTTGGCCTTGGAGTCATGTTCAAATTCTCAGCCAATCATGAGTTAAAAATCAAAAAATGAAAACAATTTTTTTTTTATTTTTATTTTTACGAAAAAAAAAATGTTCGCGACCTGTTCGCGCGAACGCGCAAACATGGAGGGGTGCGAACACGTTCGCCGTGCTACCCAGGCTGAGATCATACGCATTGGGTTGTCGAGCCCCGGCCCCGAGGCCCCGACGGGGGTCCCGAAGGCCAGGGGTGGCACCCCTGGCCCCGAAAAAAAAA